CGTCATAGACCAGAGTTCTAAACCAATAGCACTGACAGCAGTCATCTTGAATGGGTGACTATCTTCAAAATAGTCTGGGTTTGGTATTTTCCGAGGGCTCCAGACTCCCTTTAACAGGAAAAGGAAAAAAAAAAAAAAAAAAAGGCAAACAAAAAAAAGTACTCACTTTACCTATACCTCACTAAAAGCCAACAAACTCTGAAACAAATTTTAAAACAACTGGAACCTCCTGACTATTTTAAATACATTATTTAAGAAGACAAGCAATTGAGTTTAACCTACACAAAACCAGAACTGGAAGTACCCATAGAATTTTGGTAGCTGCAGCTCAATTTTTTGTTTAAGGCAGACCTCTTAAAACTAATGGGTTTGTCCATAGAGGGTTACAGTAATAATTGACTGTACACAGTATCTCCATTCTTGCTGGTACTGGTGATTCCAAACACTCTTTTTAAGTTTCCTAGAGTAACTCTACAAAACAAATTTCCTAATACTGAAGGGGAAACACAATATCAGCATTACTTCTTCCTCTAGTCTCTCCTTCTCTAACACATAGCTTTGGGGTTTGCTCATCAATATAGCATTTACATTTTTGTAAGAGCCCTGCTTAATGTTTTGTGGTCAGTGATGGGATTTTCTGAAGTAAGCATCTATTGTCTGGTGGCCTAACACTGCAGGGGAACTACATCCCATGGTCCATATGGTCCCTTCCATTATGCGTGTGTATAAACTGAGAGCTACTGTAACCAGAAGCGTTAGGGAAAATTTTATGGAAGGAAAATTCAGCTTTGTTATACCTATGCAAATTAGATTCATATTTTGTTTGCAAATGTGCTTAGGTTCTTAAACTCATAGAAATCAGATTCAAGTACTCTCCAGCCATAATACAAAGTAACTTTCCTTAATATCAAACTGATTTCCTTGTAACTGTAGGTAGAAGGGGAATTTAATTATTGATGCTTCCACTAAAATTTAACTAGTAAGTCAATCTGCTTAATGAAAAGTTTCATTTTTTAAATTAAAAAATGTTAAGACTTAAAACCCCAACAAAAAAGATCAGTATTTCCCTAAATAACATGATCCAGAATACAATTATACAGAACATATTAAGTGATACAAGTGCAAATCATGCCAAAAGCGACTTTTAGCAGAGAAATTATTTTAATATGGGCAGCATTTATATTTTCCAATGTACTTAAAGAACACACAAAAAAGCTCAAAATGTTTAGTGAGGGTACTCACGTTCTAAAATATAAAACATACTACATATATTTATTACTTTGAATTACCTGCTCTGTTGAACTCTGTACCTTCTAACAAAGACTATTTCTATTACCTGATAGTTCGGATTGTCTATCAAAGGTGCTTTCCATTTCCCTTTATAGTTTGGGTTATTCTTCATGGGACGCACCCATGGGCCACAACCAGGTGCAGCCTCACACTTTGGATTAGGGATCTGAGGGGCTTCCCACTCCCCATCCATATCTTCATCCCTACATAAAAGACAAGAAGATAGAAACAGCTGATTTGAGATTGGGCTGGTCTGAACACTAGCAGTCAGTCTGAAGTTAGGGTCCGTACACATTTTGCTTTAACAATCTCAAAATTTTGACCAGGCCACAGAGCTTTACCTAACATTAGCAAAATTTTCTTTTTGAGGACTGCTATACTGTTTATTCTGGTTTTGTTTATGTATCTTCAAAAAACAAAAGGCAATAAACATGTTTGTTTTTCTCTAAAAGCAGCCCTCCAAAAGAAATACACATTCCAATTTACTCCCTCAAAAGACAGTGAGATTTGATTTACTTCTGATCCACAATTCAATTCGCCACAGACAATACTCAGGCTTATCTACAAGACATGTTAACAACCTGCACTTACTGAATCTAGATCTTACCAGTCCTTTGGTTTTTTTGCATTAGGGTCTGGAACATACTGTGCTTCATCATCAAGCCATCCCTCAGGCTTTACAGCATCAGGATCTTCTATTTTGGAAGGCTCATCTTCATCCCTTCAATTACAGACTTATGTTAGAAAATACAGCAGCTGTATTTTGAATCAGCACCTGAAACACAGCACCTGACTTTGAATGAATGTTCTGTTCAGAGGACTGTAACTGGCATGAAAGGTATGATTCTCAAAGGCACAAGAGAATCAGACACAGTGATCATGGGAATTAGACATCCAATTATCTGTTTATAAATATCTGAGCTATATTTACATTGTTTAAAAGTCCTACTTAGCCCGGAAATTGCTGCCATTAAAAGGCAAGTGTCAATTGGATCTTACCATTAGGTTTTTCCCTCCTCTTCCTGGGTTGCCATATGAAACACAGTTCACACAGAAGTAGAAATAACTGAATGTAAATTAAGACTATATGGTGAAGAAAAAAACCCAATGACCCTTCTCCTAATCTCTCAGATATAGTAATTTTAGCTATTAATTGCAACCGTGGAGGGTAGAAATTGAGCAAAAAGCACAGATTTTATTTCCTTAAATGCTGACCAGATTCTTATACCGACCTCAGTTATGTTTCCGAATTTTAGTGCTTCTAATAGTGAAAATATATCCCAACTCCCTGATTCCCATGCATAGGTTGATCAGTATACTGGAGAGCCAAGGAGTGATCACCAGGACCTACTCACCTTTAATAGCCCCATATGGCCAGTGCGAAAGTCTAATGGAGAGTGGAGACCAACAGTAGACTATCATGGCCTGAATGAAGTCACACCACCATTGAGTGCTGCCGTACCGGACATGCTAGAACTTCAGTATGAACTGGAGTCAAAGGCAGCCAAGTGGTATGCCACGACTGATATTGCCAATGCATTTTTCTCAATTCCTGTGGCAGCAGAGAGCAGGCCACAGTTGGCTTTTACTTGGAGGGGTGTCCAGTACACTTGCAATTGACTGCACCGGGGGTGGAAGCAGCCCTACCATCTGCCATAGACTGATCCAGACTGCACTGGAACAGGAGCAAGCTCCAGAACAGCTGCAATACATTGATGACATTATCGTGTGGGGTGATACAGTGGGAGAAGCTTTTGAGAAAGGGAGGAAAATAACCCAAATCCTTCTGAAATCCTTTTGCCATGAAACAAAAGTAAGGTCAATGGGTGGGCACAGGAGATCAAAACTATCAATTTCATTTTCCCTTATGAAAGGGATGTTACTTTTTGCTACACTGTAGAGACTGGTTCACTTTGATTACTTGTTTAGATTGTTAAGGAATTAAAAAAAATAAAAATAAAAGCAGCCTTAATTCTTAAAAATGTATATATACTGCAGTCACATTCTTGCTAGATTTGTGGCCTGGCGAGGTAAGGGAACAGGCTACAAACACTACTGTAGGGACAACAGGAGGGGGAATAGAATCTGAGTCAGGGCTGCCTAGTAAGGAATTTTTCAAATTAAGACACAGTGCTTTATTAAAATACTATAGTGAGAAACTTTTGGTGATCTTAAAGGTCTTTTCCAACTGCACTGATTCTGTGTTTCTATGATCTATATTTTTTATATGTTTTTTCTCCTACAGATAAAATCTGGGGTAAAATTCCAATGGTATTGATAATATCTTTGCAATGAAATTTAAAACTTTAAATTGAAATTTAAAAAATTAAAACTTTCAGATAACCAAGATGTACTTTCAGTGGGATTGGCTGTGCTTGGGTGTCCTGGTAATTAGCTCAGTTACTGCAGAAACTGAAAACAAAGAAACTCTGGATTCCAGTGTTGAAGTAGAGGATTTTGACAAGCAGTCTCAAGAAGCTGATGTTGATGGAGGTAAATCTTCCTTAGAGGTAAGATGACAGAAGTCTTTAGTTAAAGCTTGTTTAATTATAAGATATGCAATTATAACTGCTAGAGAAATTGGTGGACAAATGTATTTAAAAAAGAGCAAGTTAACATGCAGTTAACAACCGGGTGGGTGTCAAACCCACCAGTCCTTTTCAGTTTCTGTACGTGACACGTAGGACAAGCTTAACAAATGATCCTGCTATGCCAAAGTGTAAAATCACATCTCCTGCCTATGATGCGTGGTCATGAAGAAGGTTTTGCTAGTCTGTGCTTCAGTCTGAATACAAAACCTTTTTGTTGTAACTTCTAACATGCCATTGTTAGAGAAGACAGTAGAAAGTATCTTAGTCTTACTGATTTTTGACTTTAGACCAGTTCTTGATTTCATAAGCTACATTTTGACACTATCTTTGTTCCCAGAAAACCTGGCTTGTTATGCTCTACTTCGCAGTAGATGTGGGCAATATTCATAAATCATTTTTTCAACTTTTTACTGTGTAGCTCAACTATAATGTGCCAAGTAGACAGGAAACCAGAAGAATGGGAAACATTTCTAGAAAGAGGGAGGAAGCAGAGAATTGGTGAAAGCTTGGCAAATTTGTCAAATTTCCTGGCGTTTTGTTACACATAAGATGTGTAGCAGTATTTTAGTTATGAGGTTTTTAGGAAGCAGGGAGCAGGAAGCAGGGAAGAGGGATGCACCCAAACTGAAAATGAGAGGGGTGGGGGAAGACAGTTTTTGCTGTTAGATACTTCTAATGAACAAAATCTGGTGGTCTGTTTGGGTGGAACTAATCCTAGAGGTATGATAGTGTATTTCAACTTAACAATTGTAATTTATGTTAGAGTATGCTCCTGTATGTGTGTTTTAGGTTGTGTACCGGACTCCAGAGCCAACAGGGGAAGTGTATTTTACAGAAACCTTTGATGGAGTATTGGCTGGGTAAGTTTATGCCTTAAAATTTTAAACTTCAAACATTTTAATGTCTAGTGGGAGGACTTACTTTATATTCATTTTTCTGCTAGTATCTCTATAAAAATTAATTTGTACAGTGGCTACCACTGGGAAGGCTGGCAATGCTTGCTACAAATACAGCATAATGTTAAGCCTGATAGTGAACATTTCAGATATGTTGCTGGTTTTTGTGCAAACATTAGTTAACAAATGCAAAAACCGAGATACTTGAAAAATGTCATTCACTCCAATTTCTAAAAGATGAGTTTGTCTTCCTGCTAAATTTACTATTCAAAGCTTTTGCTTACAATGCTTGGGAGTTTTTTTTTGGTCTAGCTGTACATAATTTACGTAAGAATAACAACTGTGGAACTAAGCTGTATGAGAAAGTAAGCAGTGGTTGCCTTTCTTCCCTAAAATTTGGGGAAACAGTGCTTATAAGTTGACTAGGTAAATCACTAGAATAGAATAGCTTTTTTTTTGAGAATTAATTTTGAAAATCTTCTGTGTGACTTGTAGGGGTGTTTTATTTCCCTGTTGGTCTTTCCCCTTGTAGACCAAGGATCTAGTTTGCCATTTATATTATGAAGCTTTTCTAGCATCTCTGGAAAAACAAATCTGACTGAAATTTGAGCAGGAAAGTTATTCATCCCTGAAATACTCCGATGGTTCAGAATGAAGATAGCTCTTTGTGGAGTTAATAACAAAAATGTAGTATTGTAGTTGATGCAATGAAGAGTTCAGTGACACGGTTGGCTTAAGGTATTCCTGTACATGGCTTGGGATAGAACTGTTGTATGGCCAGATGAGGGTGGATTGCCCTTTCTTTCTTTCTACTTTTTTTTTTCTTCCAAATGAACGCTTTGTCTTATGTGTGAAATGTGCATATTTTTTGGTGACCTCAGTTTGATAAGCTGAGTTTGCCTTGTTCATAGTCTCAAGGAGATCAGGAGTTGGTTTGCTCTGTTGGGGTTCCCTGTGTGCAATACACTTAGAATGTGTTCAATGCATGATTGCATTTGTCATTTGGACACTTTTACCTCTGCCTTTTGTCCCTTGCTATGCAAGTGTACTGTTACTGTCGGGTAGTGTTAAAGTTTCTTTGGGTGATTATTTTTTCCCTTATCAAATTGAAGATGTTACAGTTGAACCTTGCTATTTTCCATTTATTTTTGACATTATATGCTTATGTAAAATTCTTACATTTTGCCAAACTTACCTTGTATATAAAACTGAAGTTTATTCAGAATAATTGAATTACTTTAGTGCTATAATTGTATAATCAATTATAATCTTAGGAAGTATTTTGAAATGCTGTTTTAGACTAATCTATTTTAATTTTTCCTTTCGTGTTCTTTGAACTACACAAAATTCCATGATGCTGACTAGCAAAATCATATTCTCATATTCACAGCCTAGAAGCAAAAGCTGGTTTTGCTGTGCTTGTTAAATAATACAGGTTTGCATAAGTAGTTCGATGACTATACGCTTTTTGTTTTAGGTGGGTGTTGTCTAAAACGAAGAAAGAAGACACAGATGAAAACATTTCTAAATATGATGGTAAATGGTTTTAATGTTCATTTCCACCGTATGGTTTCTGATGTTCTGTTGTTCTTTGAGAAGCAGCTACCTCTTATACTGAACTTTTCTTTAAAAACTTTGAAAAAAGTTTGTATAATGACTGTTACCCTGAAACAGAGATGTGAAATTTTGCTCATTGGGTCACCTAGTGTGAAGATAATTTTCTGGTTTTGTCATCCCAACAATCTATTGCAACCCTCTGGCATCTGAATATTCAGTATTGATTGTGAATAGTGCTTCTTGAGAACTACCTTCTCTGAAATCATTTCAGAAAGATGTACCATTTCAATTTTGGTTGTTAAACACATTTCCAAAGCAGCATGTTCTGTGTTGCTGTGTTTGTCCTTCTGATTCATGGGCTGGTCTCTGTCGTGGTTTAAACTTGAAGAAAATTAATTTTATTCCAGCCCAGTCTCCAGGTCTAGCCTCCAAAACAAACGTGTTAAGACTGAATGATGTTTTTCTTTAAAATACTTTTTCAGAATGCCTGTGCTTGAATATAGGGTTCTCCAGTAGTTCTTGTACAGTTTTTTTTCTTACAGTAGTCTAAAACTAATCTGTAAAGTAATAATGAAAAAGTTGTTTTGACGGATTTTATCATTGGGGTTTGCACTTGCAAATTCCTAGGCTAGAAATACCTGCTTTAATACGATTTTAAACTAACAGATGTGTGATCCATGGCAGTAATTTTGCCATATGAATTTATTTCATTGAAGAGAAAGTGTCCCTACCCATTCAAGGAAGAAGTCCCTGCCTGTGGCAGAGGGGTTGGAACTAGGTGATCTTTAAGGTCCCTTCCAATGCAAACCATTCTGTGATTCTATAAAGTAGGGAGAACAGGAAAAGTTTCTGCTGCAGTAGAGAAGTATTTCACACTGCTCTTTTGTCAAATGAAGTCAATCTTAGTAGAAAGTGGTAAGCAAACATAACTTATGGGGTTTTGGTGTGTAAATTGGTATAGAAGAGATGGTTTTAGGTTTAGCACTTACCAGAAATACTTGCAATTAAACAGAAATCCAGTGGAAGTTTACACATGCTATGGGTTTGTGAAATAAACTTAATGAAATTTTGTGGTGTAAACACATTTAATGTTAAATGGATACATTTTTCTGTTCCATTTCATTGGTTTATGCTGGATTATGATAAGGATGTGGTTCTTTCCTACTTCGGAGTTGTCCTGGGTTTAGCAGTGGCAGTCATTTTTCTCTTGGTAGCTGGTGCAGGGCTGTGTTTTGACTTTCAGCTGGGAACAGAGCTGAAAAACAATGATGTTTTGGTTTGGCCAAGGACTTTGTGGGCCTCATGCTCTGCCAGGGAGGAGGGGAGGCCGGGAGGAAGCAGAGACAGGACACCTGACCCAAACTGACCAAAGAGGTACTCCATACCACAGCACGTCATGCCGAGGGGGGAACTGGGAGGGACCCGGAAGGAGAGGGGGTCGGCCGGGTCGGACTGGTGGTTCGGCGCGTGGGATTGTACTCCTTTCCTTTGCTGTTTTCTCTTATCATTGTTGTCGTTGGTGGTAGCAGTGGTGATTCGTATTATACCTTAGTTACTAAACTGGTCTTATCTCAACCCGTGGGAGTTGCATTCTTTCTGATTCTCCTCTCTGTCCCTCCGAGAGTAGGGGGAGGGCAAGAAAGGAGGGGAGTGAGTGAAAGCTGTCTGGCGTTGGTTAAACCACGACAGTTCTTTTTGGCGCCCAACGTGGGGCATGAGGGGTTGAGATAACGACAGATCTGACCATCACAATGCTGATTTATTGGATCTCAGAGTTGTTCCTCTTGATCTCACAGTTTCAGAATGTTGTAACTTACTTAGAGCCGGTATTTGCTGTATTAGTGTTTATCAAGTGTGGGGCTTGGGCTAAGGTTCTTGTCTCACTGTACTTTATGGCAATGACTTGTAATACGGGCGAGCTCCAGCAGCAGGGCGGGACGGACGTGGCCGTGGACTGGTACCTGGCCCTCCGGCTGCTCTTCACCGTCCTGGCCCTCGCCCTCGCCTCCGTCTGCGTGAGGCTCTGGGGAGCCGAGGGGGGGCGGCTCCGGGAGCCGGCGGCTGCTGAAGCGGCCCGGGAGAGCGGCCCGGGGACCAAGCGGGAGCGGGACCGGAGGCCGCGAGGGGACGGCTGCCGGTGGAGGAGGTCGGGGCGGTCGAGGAGCGGGAGCAGGCGGCTGCCGAGCAGCGGGAGAAGGCGGCGGAGGAGCCGAGCCCCGCGGCCGAGCCCAGCCCCGCGCCGGCCGAGAGCATTCCCCGGAAGCCGCCCGCCGAGCCCCAGGAGGACGCAGGAGACCCCGCAGCATTTCCCAGCAAGGCAGAGGAGGAAGAGCTGGACTCAGGAAAAGAGAAGCTGGTGGTGGGAGAGCCGGCAAGCACAGCAGCTGCACCAGCCCCAGTGACAAGTACAGCAGCATCGTTTGAGAGTTCTGCAGGTTTTGGATGGCCTTTGGGTACCCTTGGGACCTGCCTGCTGATTGTGATGGTGTTCACTATATTGGCACACATGCAGAGTGTGTTTTACCCACCACCATTGTGTCTGATCCCAAAATTTAAGCAGAGTCGGGTTTGGGTCTTATCTGGGGTTAGACAACAATATGGGAGGACCAAGAGGTTTTCCCCAAGGCTGGACAGCCATGAGTGGCAGGGCGTGTGGGACAGTATGGGCAAGTATCTAGTCCACTGGGCCCCTCCAAGCGCTTTGGAAACATTGGAGATGGAAGGACAATGAATTATTTTGGGCTAAAGAACATGGCATTGAGTGGGTATATCACATCCCCTACCATGCACCAGCCTCTGGGAAAATCAAAAGGTACAATGGGCTGTTAAAAACTACACTGAGAGCAATGGGTGGGGGAACTTTCAAGTATTGGGATACATGTAGAGACAGTGTTCTCACAGGAGAAGGGATAATTGGTACATAAATCCTGAAAGATACAGCAAGGCCATGAGAGGCCCAAGGAAGCCCAAACAAGCAAGATAAGAAGAAGCTGGAATTAATGAAGTTAACGAGAACTGTGGACTGTTGGCAAGCTTTCGAGGTCAAGTTCTCACATCTGTGCTTAAGCAATTATATGTTAGTCACTGGGGGTCTTCAAGACATGTATACAATCATAATATGCCAAATCATTGTAAGTGCATGTAAGAAATAGTATCTAAGGGGTTAAGGCTTTGTAATAAACAGCTCTTGTCTGATCATATTGATCTCTGACTGGGTTCATATATTTTCTGCGGCAGATATACACTTACTAAAGGCCACCTGGTTGGTCAACACCAGAAGATCTGCCAACAGGGCTGGCCTAGCCCAGTCAGAACTTTTACATACTGTGGAAGGGGACAAAGATCCTGTGGTGCATATGAAGAATTTGCTGGGGAAAACAGTCTGGGTATTCCTGCTTCAAGTAAAGGCTAACCACTCGTGAGATTGCTTTTGCTCAGGGACCTGAATATACTTAGTGGGTAAAGCTGAAAGATGGGGAAGTCCGATGTATACCTCAAGGGGATTTGATTTTAGGGGATAACAGCCAATGAACTTAATTGTATGTTGTTGCCTGCTGTGTAATACTTTAATAGCCCATCAACCAGATGTCTTCAGGGCACAAGCGACTAGCCCTGACTCCCCTCCAATCATCATCCCAACAGAGAATGAACTTTGATAGAACCAGACGAGTTCTGCAGTAAAGGAACAATCAGCATCAGCAGGCAACGATCCAATACTGCACACAGTCTTTTCTGCCCTGAAAGATTGTTACAAGAGATGGAACCTGACATCATGGATCAAATGGACTTGGCAGCATTCTGGGGATTGGTCCATGCACTAAGAAAATGATCTCTTTCTCTCGGTCCATGTGTGTATGTGGATGTATATATATGTGAGAGCGATGGTGTATTGAAAATGTGGGATCTGAGCGTTACGTGAATGGTATGGAATAAGGGGTGGCTAATGTCCTGGGTTTAGCAGTAGCAGTCATTTTTCTCCTTCTTGGTAGCTGTTGCAGTGCTGTGTTTTGACTTTCGTGCTGGGAACAGAGCTGATAACAATGATGTTTTGGTTTGGCCAAGGACTTTGTGAGCCTCATGCTCTGCCAGGGAGGAGTGGAAGCCAGGAGGAAGCAGAGACAGGATACCTGACCCAAACTGACCAAAGAAGTATTCCATACCACAGCACATCATGCCCAGGATGTAACTGGGAGTTACCGGGAAGGACACAGGGTCTTCTGGGTGGGACTTGTTTTTCGGTGGGTGGTATTGTATTCTCTTGCCTTGTTATTTTCTCTTATTGTTGTTGGTGGTGGTAGCAGTGGTGATTTCTGTTGTACATTGGTTGCTGGACTGTTCTTGTCTCAACCCGTGAGAGTTGCATTCTTTCAGTTCTCCCCATCCCTTCAGGAGCAGGGAAGGGGAGAGCCCCCAGGGTGGGGTGGGGGGGAAGAGGGGGGTTGGGCCTTGACTGCTTCCAGCCTGGCACCACTCACTGGGAGTGGGTGCACGAGCTGTCTAGCGGAGTTTAAACCACGACAGCATAGCACAGGCAAAACATGAATATGTAGTGGTTTCCAGACACAGACATGTTTCAATATATTATTCTATGCAAGCAACACTAACGCCAAAATAACATGCAATAGACCCAAAGTAATATTGCTGAAAAAGAAGACCCAAGTTTCCAATGATGAAACATCATTGTGGTCCATATCCTGAAAGAGACAAAGACAATTAAGAGTTTGCATGCTGGTAAAGATTTTAGTTTTAATTTCAACCAGCAAGTGCAATAAACATGTCTTATTCAAAGTTTTTGTCTTAAAATATGCCGTTAATTCACTTCTTCATCCCTGTTTCCTGGACACAATCAGCACAATCTTTCCCAATTAAATTTCTAGTTCAGTACTGTTCCTATAGCAAGGAACTTGCATAAAAGAGAAATAGTGGGTGATTTTCAAAGTATCCTTGCTAATTAGGTGTCCAGCTCCCACTGATTTTGAATAGGAGCTAGGTAATAAGAACTTTTGATGCCTTTGAAAATTTCTTGTGTAATCTCTCTCTTTTCTACTTGTAAAGCCCATAGCATTCAAAGGCTGAAAGTCCAAAGACAAGACAGTACATAATTCATAATCTAAATTACCCCTTATTTCAGAATACTATTTACAACTGAAAGATTTCCAAAGGAGAGCCTATATGTTGCTGACAGAAAGA